TTTACAGCCCAGGAAACCCTATACAGGGTCCTTATGAGTTGGAACCGACTCAACGGCATATAACCACCATATACATATATGAGAAAGTTTCAAAAAGTTAATAGAAAAATGTCATTATCTTATAATTCCCTTTTTCTGCAAACTTTTTGAAGCTCTCTCATACATATGTATGTATCTATATACATATATACATTTGTTGCTGGTAAGTGCCATGGAGTCAGTTCTGACTCAAGCAACCCTGTCTAGGGTTTCTAAGTAGCAGCTGGTGGGTTTGAACCACTGATCTTGTGGTTAGCAGTCCAGTGCTGATCCTGTAGCACCACCCCAAGACTCTCTCTCTATATATATATATACATATATAGATAGATAGATATATAGATAGATAGATAGATAGATAGATAGATAGATAGATATAGATATATTCACATACACCTAGATGTCTGTGTATGTATGAACACACACACGTACATAAGACACATATGCACATATTTCCTTTGTAGGACACCTCCCACCCTGCCAAATATTCAACCGCATGTATGCTCACTCTTGGAGCTGGAGAATCCCACTTTAATCTCCAGTCTCAGATGAAAGATTAGCCTGGCCCAGAAATCATTCTCACATCCTAAAACCACTTCTGAATCTGCACACAAGCCTGCTGCTGTTAGATTCACACAAAGTGACAACCTCTGGAGCTCATCAGCAGGACCAGTAGCTTCTCTGGACACCAAAATCATTTTTTCAGGTCATCTACATCCCGAATATCCAAAGTTGCTTCCATGTGATTTATTAGTTATTTCTTAAAATGCAATTCTGCTTGCTATTGTTGGGTTGAAATGAACTTAAAACAACAACAACAAAGTGTTGATATAATTATGTTTGCTACTGTGCTGTCGTCTTAACCGCCTCAATTGTTACCCTTCATCGAATTCAAATTCTCAGTTATTCCAGAGAATTCCAATCACGAGGCCAAGATCTGAATTGGAGTACCTTCTGTTGAACTGTTGAAATACGCTTGAAGGTTAAGAAGCCATGAAAGTATCTTTGTGTTTACTTTTTTAAGAGTAAATATTGGTTATCATAATTTTCATTCATGCTGGTAGGTTCCCATCCCTACCTCTTTTGAAACTCACATTGACATAAATTTGCAAACAAAAGAAAAATGTCTGGTGAAGCCTGGTTCCCCTTGGGGTTTGGTGAGTTACTCTCTTGGGTCTTGGAGAAGTCTATGAAGCAAACTTGTAAATGAATTGCTCTGGAATTTCTGTCTGACCGATGCATTTTCTTTTGTTTATTTCAGTTTTGCATTGAAAACATTACATTTCTGTTTCTTTATAGAATAGTGTATCAAGAGCCTGTATATGGCAATAAATTGCTGCAGGTATGAAATCCCAACTGGTGGAAGAATCAAAAAACAAACTCCTCACTCTGATCGGGGTTCTGCTGTGAATTCCTACTAACTCCGGGAAGGGAGGTGTTTTCTCTAACACAGAAGGAGGAAATGACTTCACTGAATTTTCCAGTTTTCATGCGAATTGTTCCGGAACAGGGATGGTCCTTTTAAGCTTGGTCCCGGCTCCTCTATTATGTCCACTGATTGGTCTGGGCATTCCCTTCCAATATGAGGACTGTTTTCATGCCTGGCCTTGGGTGGTCTTCACTATGAGCTTTGTTAGTTCATGAGTCCATCAAAATGTGAGGCCAGTTTGACTTAAGATGTATCTGGAGAGAAGAGAGAGAGGGTATCCCCAAATCAACGACTCAACCAACAAAAACTCAGTGCAGAGAGTTAGAGGGTTTCTTGTACCGAACTGTCTGGGTAAGGTTTTATTAGGTTCCTTGAGTCACCTGGAATGGTTAAACCAAAAATCGCTTTTGTGTCTATCTTTGAGGTACAACATAAATAACCTTTATGGTACAGTGTTAGAGTGAACACTGTAAAGTTCGCGAAACAAACCCACCCAATGACCCCGAAAGAGAACTCCCTAACAATCTGCTTCCATCCAAATGATAGGCAAACCCACTGGGGCAGTTCCCCTGGCACATGGGTTACTGTGAGTCAGAATTGACTCAGTGACACTCAACAACAACACTGGAGCTAACACAACTCTCCCTGGTCTCCACGGGTTAGACATTTGCTTCCCATTGACTGTTACCAGTTTTTAACAAGATTCCTTCCAGTGAAGCAACTCAAGATGAACAAAATCATAGCAAGTAAAGAGAATCAAGGCACCTAACGGGGGTGTAGCTGGCTAGGATGCTCCAAACTTGGTCAACTGTCAAATATTAAAACCAGTAAGTTAAAATGAAAATGAATGTTAAGAAAGCTCAGGGAATGTGATACTACAGAGGTTTCCCCATTACCAGCAATTTCTTATTCCCTATCAAGTCCATTGAACTCCTGGTATAGCACAGGAAGGTAAGCACTGGACTGCTAACCACAAGGCTGATGGTTGAAATCCTTGGAAACTCTACTTAGGGTCGGCATGATTTGGAACCAACTCAACAGCATTTAATAACAACAATATTAAGTCACTTAAGAAAGTATGGTGTTTTTTTTTAACCATCAGAATTGATGAAGTTTTCATAAAATTATCTAATATGAAAAGGAGTAGTGGCCTAAGGAAAGGCCAAAATAATCAAAATTGCTGAGCTCAAAGGGATTCTGTAGAAGGTTCTGGATAGAGTAGGAGAAGATACAGAACAAACTCAAGATCATAAAGAAAAAGCTGCTTAACTAGTCATAGAGACAGATGGGATTCCAGAGGCTATGGCCATTAGTCACCCTTCAGGTCTGGACATGAAATCCCCCCGAAACCAAGGCTCAATTTTCAGCCACACAATAGACAGGTTTTTAAGAGGAGCGAGCCCTGGTGTGGCACTGTGGGTTAATGCGCTGGACTGAAAAGTCAGTTTGAACCACAAGATCAGTGGTTCAAGCTCATCAGCTGCTATTTGGAAACCCTATACAGAGTTACAAAGGGTTGTAACGACACTTAACAACAACAAACAACAACAAGGGAACAATAACATGAGGTATGCACATCTTAGATTCAGCCACCATTTAAGACCAGAAGGCCAACATTTACCCAAGAACAAAATTCAGAATGGTGAAGAAAGAAGGCAGAATGGAAACAGGAAACCCAGGGAGGAAATAGAATGAGTGATGTTACATTGTGGTGACTGCAGTCAATGAGATGAAACAAAATGTGTAGGATTTATTGAATGGAAAACCGATCTGCTCTGTAAACCACTCTATTCACCGAAACAACCCCATAAAGCAGCTATATATATATATATCAGATAAATAGGGAATGCAGTTTATATTGCAGCATTTTCATTTGACAAATGTTTCTGGGAATGTTACTCTTCTAACCCATTGCTGTGGATTCAATTCCGATTCATAGCACCCCTGTATAGGGTTCCAGAGACTGTCTATCTTTTGGGGAGCAGACGGTTTTTTTCTCTTACCTGCAGAGAACAGCTGGTGGTTTTGAACTGCCAACATTGGGGTTAGCGATCCATTGCTTATCCTTACAGCACTACCAGCCCTCCTTAAATGTTACTCTAGTAAACATTTAGCACCCTCAGTTCTCTCTATTCATTTTAGCTCTTAAAAAAAAACAACTCATACATATAGATAATAATTTAAACCATCAAAGGACACATTCTTCAAGTCTGCCTTCAGACCACCAGCTCTCAGTCCCTCTCTTTCCATGAATCTAGAGTCCTCAGCTGCTCCCTCACTCTATGTCCCATCTCTGCCTCCATCTCTGGTGTCACTGCTTCTCTGGGTAAGGTCCCACATTCCACTTGTGCTCTTCTTCCTTGATGGTCCTAGGGTCCTCTGTTTCTGGACTGTAAGATTAATTACTCCCCCGTTTTTGTTACAAAACTTCTACCTTTACAATTGTGACAGTCGCAATTAGTCATGATTATAATGCCCTTTTAGTGTGTATATTTTATATATGGTCACATTTTCCTTTTGCCAACATGTGAAATGTGAGTGTGTTTGAGGAGCAGCGAGTGTAGGATTATCTTGTACTTCTCACCCACTTTTTATCTTTTGGCTATGGGTTGTTGTTGTTGTTGTTAAGTGCCGTCGAGTCGGTTCCAACCCACAGCAACCTTGTATAGGTTTCCAAGGAGCAGCAGGTGAGCTTGAACTGCCAACATTGCAGCTCAAATGGCCCTGCAGTCTGATACATTAACCCACAGCGCCACACCAGGACTCCATTGACTATGGGGTAGGAAATGCTAATTGTCTGCAACATATTTTGGTCATAAGTCCTGGGCAGACCAGAGTTGACATAAGCATTGTTTCCTAGTTGCAAATAGGAGTGAGTGTTCCTTATCCAACCCACCATTTGAACCGTGTAAAAGTTCTGGTCTTCCCAGCAAGCTGCAAAATATGGGGCATCACAAACTAAAAAAAGCAGTTTAAAAAGATCATTTTATGGCCTACGTACATGTGTGCCACATTAAAACACAAGTTGGTTATTCCCCTAAAATGGATTTCATGCAGAAGAAAAACGGCCAACACAGTGTAATAGATACGCGGGAGGTTCAAAAATTGAGTGGAAAAATTCCATTATCTTTCAATGTCATTTTCACACAAACTACCTGAAGCTCCCTCTTAGATATGTGTGGATGTATCCAGCTACTGAAATCCATTTTTTGTCCAATTATTATCTGTTCTAGGGATCACTTAGGTCAGTTCTAACCCCATAACTACCAGCCATGTGTGACAATTTAAATTTATATTCAATTGGCCGAAAAACAAAGAAATGAAACATTCAGCTAATTGTGGTAGGCACATCCCAAGTGATCGGTAACTGCTTATGACAAAAATAGCAAATATCAAACCAGGTGCCCTGGCATGACTGATGACAACCACAGATGTGTCAGAGTAGAACTCTGCCACATAGGATTTTCAGTTTACCAGGTTTTTCTTCCAAGGAACCTCTGGTTGGGTTCAAAGCATCAAGTGCGTGGTTAGTAGTCGAACACCCTACAATTTGTGCCACCTCGAGATTCCTCCACTTATGAGTCTATTCTGACTCATTGAACCCTATAGAACAGAGTACAGCTGCCCCATAGGGCTTACAAGGTGTCTATGTTTACAGAAACACACTACCACGTCGTTCCCTCTCAGAGCAGCTAGTAGACTCGAACCACTGGACTTTTGGTTAGCAGCTGAGCACTGTAATCATTGCACATTGTTGTTGTTCTTGTTAAGTGCTGTTGAGTCAGTTCTGACCCATAGCAACCCTGTGTAGTAGGTTTTTCAAGGAGCAGCTGGTAAGCTTGAACTGCCGACCTTGCAGTTCAAATCGACCTTGCAGTCCAGCGCATTAACCCATAGTGTTGTTAAATGCCACTGAGTTGATTCTGACCCATAGCGACCCTGTTTCTGAGGATTTTTGAGGATCAGCTGGTGAACTCGAACTGCTGACCTTTCAGACAAACAGACTTTACAGTCCAGTGCATTAACCTACAGGGCCATACCAGGACTCTTCATTGCACCTTGTTGTTGTTAAGTGCTGTTGAGTTGATTCCAACCCATAGTGACCCTGTATAGGGTTTCCAAGGAGAAACTGGTGAGCTTGAAACACTGACAATGCAGTTCAAATGACTTTGCAGTCTGATGCATTAGCCCACAGCGCCATACCAGGACTGTACCTAGCAGCTGCCATATTGGACAGCACAGGTAGGGAGCATTCCCAGCACCACTACCAAAGTCACCAGGACTCCAGGAGCCCATGGATGAAGCTGGTGGTGGCTGTGGTATTAGGTGCCATCAAGTCGACTCTGACTCATAGTGACCCACTGCACAGTGGAATGAAGCAATGGCCCGGTCCTGCACCATCTTCATAGTTGTTACATTTGAGACATTGTTGCCATCTCTGTGCCACTCCATCGCACTGACGGTCTCCCTTGATTAAACTACAGCTTCCTCCAATAGCTGCCCTGATATTACCACACTCAGACCCTGACTCATGAATGGGGAATGCTTGGTAAACAAATTTCTAACAGGTCAACATCAGGCCATAGAGTTTTTTGTGCCGTAGAGTTGGTTCTGACTCAGAACCACCCTTCATGGAGTTTCCGAGGCTGTAAATCATTCTGGGAGCAGAAAGCCTCATCTTTCTCCCACAGAACAGCTGGTAGTTTTGAACTGCTGAACTTGAGGTTAGCAGGCCGACTTGTAACCACTATGCTACCAGAGCTCCTTGCCTACCTTTTATAGAAACATTTATTTTCCCTAAATGACTCCCAACAAAACCAAACTCACTGTCATAAAGACCCTACAGAACACATAACTCCTCAGAGTTTCTGAGACAGTAGTAAATCTATATGGGAACAGATAGCTGTTGGGTTTGAACTGCTGAACTTACAGTTAGCAGCCCAATGCTTAGCCCAGAGCACCACCACAAGTTCTCTAAATGGCCAAGTTGTATGCAAATAGAGTAGCTGAGAGAGATGCTTCTTCGATGACCATACCTCGTATATAGAAAGATCACGTGTGTACACACATGGCATTTTATCTTCCTACAGAAAGCTCATACAAGTCATCTATGTGGTTCACTGTTCCATATTTTCTATTTCTACACCTACAATTTCCTCCTACATATCAAACTCACTAGCTACATTTCATAGCTGGAACTGTTGGAAGAGACATACAGAATCCAAAAAATAAAATAAGGGAGGGTTTTTGCAGATGGGTCATTGCTATACACTTTTGCTAGGGATTAATTCATAGTCACCAAATCATGATATGACACCTAATGATCAATGCAGATACTTTTCTCCCCCCACTTAGGAGAGAAAAAACATTACACCAGCAAATGTTTATATCCTTCAAACTTTCGACCAGTTACAGTTAATACTTCCCTCCTATGACACAAACATTTTAACACTCCAGGAGTAGATGAAAGTTGCTGGTGTGAACTCATCCCGAGGCATGTTGGAGGAAGCCCTGTGGATAATGTAGTACAACCCTCCTGTGCTCATGTGGAATCAACATGGGTCAGGGTCTAAAGGCTGCCACCACCAAGTAGCCAATGCAACCCTTCCTTGCCTTGTTAAACGTAATGTACATTTCAGCACACCTATCTTTCTGTGTGTCTCAGGAAAGACAAGGAAATATACAACAATGGTTCCTGAAACCAGGTGACCTCATTTTCCCCCAGCTCTTCCTGCTGTGTCTGGAGCCTGGTGTTGATAGGACAGACTGAGGAGTATTTTTACATCAACTCAGCAAATTTTAATCAGCTTTCAGAAGCTAATTAGATATCACAGTGCTTGTTAAGAGCAGGTGGTCTTGAGCCAGCACCTCTTTGTTTTCCAGAGCAGAATTTTTTGTTGTTGTTTGAAACTGGATCTAAATTATTGATGAGTCAGGAAGTTTGGGCTGTGTCTTCTCCAGGTCTTATCCCAAAGAAGGAATTCCTTGAAGGATAAACCCACTTTCTTTTTTTAAAATTTAAATTTGCTGCAGAAATAAAAGCAGATTTACTTGGAAGATGAGCCATGGCTGGAAAAGGGTAGACAGAAATGATTCTGAGTGGTCTACCTACATTTTGAAAGATGTCTTTGCTGCTTTTCTGCTTCAACTCTTTCCTACCTGTTACTTGATTTCTTCCTATACATGAGACCAAATTTAATGAGCATTCCTACTCCTGTTTTTGGTGCTATAGGGTAAGCACAGGACTACTAACCACAGCCTGCCAGCAGGCACTCCTCAGACACCCTACACAGGGTCGCTAGGAGTCAGAACTGACTCGAGGACAGTTAATAAGTTATGCTAACTCTCTGGAACCACTCTGCTCTGGGTTCTGGATTCTCCATGAGTTGGTGTGTCTTCATTACAATTCACAAGGACAGTAATCCTCATACACATTATTCCATCCCTAGTTGCCTCCGTTTGGCAATGGGGAGAACCCTACCACAGAGGATCATAGGACTGTGTCTTCTCATTAGAACCAGAAAGGCCATGTGTTCATTGTTAGTGGAGACGGGGTCCTATTTTTGAATTGTGCCAGGCTCTTCGGCAGTGGTTGATGTATCGCTGTGGTCTGCTGACAGAAAGCTCTGTTACTTTCACAGTTTGATCATCAATGCTCCACTGCCCATGGTCCCTTTTGAATATGCACATTTGCTTGTCCTCTCTGCTTAATTGAACAATTACAATCACCACTACAAACAACTCCATGTTAATGCTGTCTTTTCAGAACAACCTAGTGATTTGATTTATCTGTGAGAAGACATGGTTATGTTTTGCATACTGTACAAGTGTCTCATCTGAATCTCTGTACTGGCTTCATAGAAATTTACTATTCAATTTTGTAGTGACAAATTCCTATTTGGAATCATTATGTAACATTTAGACAAGTAAGCCTTCTTTGATAGCTTGAGGGATTCGATGATCTCACACGTGAAAGAAGCTTCCAATTAAATGACCCTCTGATTTGTTTTTATCAGTATAAGAGGATATTTTATTTTAATTTTCATGGTTGTAAAAAATATAGATAATACTTCTGCCAAGTCAACATTTCCCATGTCCATAATTCAGTAAGATCGGTCACATCCGTCCTGTGAAATCAGTCATCTCTGAGAGTATTTGCCAAATTTTCAGTCCTCATAACTAAAAGCCCAATACTTCCTAAACAATAATGAAGGCTCACTTACATAACGGTTCCATTATAACTCATAAGTTAAGATAAAGACTAAGACTCTCAGAAAATCTGGAAAGTCCAGCCAAGTATAAAGAATGTTTAAATCATCGCCCATAATCCTCCCCACCTGAAGATAATCACCATTAACTTTCAGCTGTTTTCCCTTCAAAGGACATGGCTGTGCCCTTGGGGATGTGCTTAAAACTGCTAACCATTTAACATCCAGCTGGGGATGGTATTCAAGGCCTTCCCCTGTAGTGTGTTTCGTAGTTTGCTTTGATTCTAAGCTCATTAACCTCCACCTTAAATGGTAGAGTTGGGTTAATTATGCTTTGGTGTGGTCTCACTACTGGGCGTCCCTGCCCACATTGAGTGCCTCTGGTTTTCTGAGTGCGGTCTCTCCTTGTGTTGTAGGGTGGCTACACTGCATACCGCTATGCCCAGCCTACACCTACCGCTGCCGCTGCCTACAGTGACAGGTAAGAGTCACCTTTCTCTTGCTTGGGAACCACTTGGAAATTAACTTAACTTGTGGGGAGAGGAGAACCCCCCGCCAGCCTTGGTGAAAATGCATGACTGTTTGAGACACAGAGCTCCAAAGTTAGATCCCACAATGAAGGTGAATATTGAAGGTACCAAGAGAAGGGAGGAACAAACGGTGAAGTCTGGCCCATTCTAACCTCCCCCTGCTGCATCTTACAGATCTTTTGATTCACAGGCTACTACATTTGGCATGCACACATTTTACATTCTACCTGACGTGCTTATGGTTTCTACATTAATTAGACCATGGTTTCATCCAACTCTTAGGAAGAAAAACAGAAGATATTCCTCGAACACCTTTCACCAATATTTTACAACAAGTTAAGCCTTCCCTCCATTGTCTTTTTAAACTCTAGAGAAAGCAATGGGGGAGATGCATTCTTTTTTACAATGCCCCATGCCTGCTCCTGTAAACATAAGTCAACTTTGATTGATAACACACACACAGCCTTCTCATGTGAAGACTGGCAGTGGAAGGGACAAGTGTTTGAAAAATGTACAAAATCAAAATTAAGCAGTGTGTGTGTATCTGTGTGTTTGTGTGTTTGTGGTGGGAGGTGGGCTGTTACTCCTTGGACTTCACAGATGAGTGGGTTTCTAAAGCAGCCAGCCAGAGCTATTTTTGTATAGTGTGCCTTAAAGTTAAAAAAAAAAAAAAAGCGTGTTTTCATATTGAATGCAACTCCTTGGCTCTGTTTTCTGAGGAGGTAAATGTGAATGTTCAGAAGCTATGCATGCCCAGTTGTCTTGGAGGGTGCTTATTCTGGTAATGATGTCTTTGATTTTTTAAAAACCAAAACCTGTTTCCCGAATAAAACATTAATGATAATAATTTGCATGTGTGGCTGAGGCATGCTGGGTCAGACAGGTAAGCAGGTGATGTCTGTGGTTCTTGATGGGGAGGTGTCAGCAGCTGTTGCTCTCTCCCACTTGGCCTATTGTGACTTAGCACCTAGCTCGTGTTTTCCTGCAGAGCCTTCTCTCATTTCTCACAAGGTGTGTGTCATTAGCTCATTGTAGCTCTGGGAATTTCCTATCATCTCATAAAGTCCTGATTCCTAAAAGCAGCTCTCTGAAAACCCCATTCAAAGATAAACTTGTAACCCCTGACGTTTTCGCAAGACAGGGTTAACACAGGCTGTCCGGTTGTATATGGTTATCACAACAATGATGACATTCTTGGGAACAACCATCACAGGTTAGAGAGGCATAAATGGCCGCTAAATAATCCAAACTGTTTGTCAGGATGCAATTCTAAGTACATCAACGACCCGCTTATCCAATAATCCTCTGCCAAGAAACAAGATATGTCTTGTGTAAATTGCTGCATTATAGACACTTTGAGGCTGGATTAGGACAATAGAGAGGGTCAACAAGGCAGATAAAAATGATGACAATCTTGAAATTCTCAAGATTGTTCTACAAATGAAAAGGCTTTAATGCGATTAAATTCTGCACCCTGAAGATTCCAGCAGTATGCATTGTAATGTGGTTCAGCTACAACCCCTTAATTATTTTTATGAAAATATCTCTAGATGCTAAATTCTCAAATACCCACTTTGTATATAATTATAATCATAACGACTTTTGCATGCTGTATAAATCTTCCTTCTTAGTATAAATACATCTGTCCTCTAGTTGGGAGGGGGCATTATAACTAAGATATAACTTGTATCTTAGTAAATTAGATATAAGACCAATTGATATATTTGAGAGAAAAAAAAAAAAATACCATCCAATACTATTCTTCAAATTATTTGAGAATCCAGGTTCCTCAAGTTGAATTCATTTAAAAATCAAGTTAAAATGTTGTTTTCTTTGGGGGTACTAGATATACAAATATATGTGTATAAGATCTATTATTTTAATGTTAAGATTTCCCATCAGGAACGTATCCAACTGAGAAATTGCCCTTTCTGTTGAATTGGTAAACTTGGAAGAACTCTGCAATTCCCACTTTAATGTAACAGTTTCAGTTGAAAAAAACCAACTAAATACACTCTTGCCCATGTAATTGGCCTCTTGTTCATTAGGGAAATTTGCACGTTAGGTCTTTTTCATTGCTGTGGAAATTGATTACTGGCCCTATTTAACTTTATTATAAGCAAGGCCCATGCTACAGATGGAATTATGATATTGATGCAGACGCAGCCATAGCTCCAGGAAATTACCAGAAAACAATCCTTAAAATGACATTTCTGGTTTGATTTGTGAAGTATTATCTGTGAAACAGTGGTGCTTCCTTTCATTCTTAAGTGGGTAAAGAGAAGGAAGACCCTTTTATGGAAGATGTGCATTTTGGGGGCCAGGTGAATGTATCAGAATAATTCTGAATGTGCATTAAAGATGCCATGTATGTTGAATGCATCTCGGGAAATATTATAGCAAATTATTTTTGCACAAGTGCACCATCATATCAATAGTGATAGATTCTTAGTTGCTATTCTCTCAAAGACAGAAAGGCAAAGGGGGAAACAATTTTTAACCAAAGGAAGCTGCTTCAAAATAAGTAAAATCAGCAAGAATGGAGAAGGCTTTGGTCACACTCACTGCCTGTCAGTCTGATCAAAAGAGAGGATACACCAAACCGTTCCTGTAATCACAAGATTCACTCTTCAGAGGTCTTGAAAGTGAAAGTTGGATGTCCCCAGTTGGTGGGATTTTTACCTTTCATCAGCACAAATTAAACCCTCGTCAAATTAAAGATTCAGGAACCTTTGAAAAACATTGAACACCAGTAACCTCAAACCTGTCCAGAAGGCCCTTCACGATCATTTTGCAATTCCCTACCTGGAAACTTTTCTTGGTTAAATGATCACATGCTGATGATTGGGGAGCAGCGTGAGAACTCTGAATGTTGACCTCCAGAAGGAAGACCATCTGGTGTGGGCAGAGGTTTCTCCCCAAAGCGAAAGACCAGACTGGACTAGGTAATTAGTTTGTTTCATTAAATGGGAATAGGCAGACATCTTTTCTTGGTATGTAGGAAATGTTTGGTAAGCAGCTGACCTCATCAAAACTGTATGTTGAAGCTTACTTGGATCTATGCAAAGACAACGGACCAGCCTCTCAAAGGAAATTGTTTTCTGAGCTTGAACCGATCAAAGCATGGCAATGGGGCAGACAGTCATCTGGTCATTGCATGCCATTTGGTGTTGCTGATGTGTCTGTGGAACATTCTGGATTGGACAGGTCCATCCTCACATTAGCTCGATGAATGGCTTGCTTGAATTAAGCCTGGGGGCAGGCTTCATTTGATTGATTGGCTCTTGGTTTGTGTATTATGACTTGGTCGTTGTTGCATCTTTGAACAGTCCAACAGTGGGAGGGTAGAAGGGGAATGACTCTCTTGTCCAATGAATTGGGCGGCAAAAAGATTGGGAAATGCATATGATATGTACACAGCTTTAATAAAAATGTTATCATGCCAGAAAGACAGACATTTTTCATGCTTGTTCTGCTTGCTAACATGTTAACATTCCTAATGATCAGTGCATGAAAAGGTCCCTTCACACTAGGGCACAAGGGAGCCAGACTTAGGCCAGACAGAGAAGTGAGTAATAACACTGTTTTGCTCTGAAATACTAGAATGATCCTGTTGCATGGAAAGTTACCAGAACCACTTTCTCCTTCACATAAAACATGCATTTCTTTTGAAAGATCCCTGAACGCCACAGAACTATTGACATAAAATGATAGTTCCATCCCTTCAGTATCCCTAGAATGAGGGAAGTCGACATGAAGCAACAGGATTTTGTTGGTTTCATTTTGTCCCTTGTTGTTGTTGAGACCTTATTCATTACCAACATCTTATCAAATTGTGTCATATGAAATTACTGTTTTTGTGAACACAGACAATTTTATATGCTCTAACTTAAAAAAAAAAAACAAAGAAACCGCCCTAACATCAAGTATCAGATACACATGTGCAAACACACACACTCACATACCCATGCACATGCCCTTCAATTTCTCTCAAAAGACTTAAGCATTTCTAGATAAAAGAGGCTAGAACTTGTGTAGTCCCCGCCACTAGCTAGAAAACCATTCCAATCTTCTATTCGTAGTTTATGAAGAAAAGACTCTTGTACAGAGAAAGTGGATGGATGGATGCTTGCATGGGATAGACAGATGCAGTAGATGGATGGATAGATGTATAGACAGTTTGTATGTGTGTATGGACACAGCTAGGTAGATAAGTAATAAATAGATAACATGGATAATTAAGTGGAGGGATGGATGGATAGACATAGATGATAGATTAGTGAAGTGGATGAATGGATAGATGTGTAGACAGAAACATATGTGTTGTATTGATAGGTAGGTAGACAAAGACAAGTAGATCAGTGGGAAGATGGATGTATTAATGTATGATAAATTGATGGATCAGTGTATGGATGGATAGATAGGAAAAGTTCATCTATCTGACCTCTCATAATATTATATTGCACGTAAACTATAGGAAATAGAACAAATTAAACCCTAAACCTTAATAAGATCCAAACTGGAAAAGATGAGAGACTTGAGTTGGTTTCCTTTAGTATTCGTTGTTGTGAAGTGCAGTCGAGTTGCTTCGGACCCATAGCAACCCTGTATAGGGTTTCCAAGGAGCTGCTGGTGATTTTGAACCGCCGACTTTGCAGTTCAAATGGCTTTGCAGTCTGGCACATTAACCCACAGTGCCACACCAGGGCTCTGCCTTTAGTGTAGGCGGCTCTTAATCTATTTTTAGATTTCTTTTTTTTTTTCCTTCCTGGACCCAGATTAAGTAATAGAGAAAAGCTTTTGTTAAAATAGACAGACTAATCATTGCATTTAAAATGGTATGCTATTCGCTATTCTATTTGGAGTGCTTTTCAAATGATACATACTAAATACTAAGGTTTTGTCGGCTTATAAAGCATATGAACATCTTTAAATGATAAGTATTTCATTT